CAGCATTACGTTCGCCGGTATCCATTTATACGCCTGGGTGGAGAGAGGCACTGTGAGAGTAAAGCGTTTTGCCCAAGAACACAACACAATGTCCCCGGCCAGGGCTCGAACCCGGACCGCACGATCCGGAGACGAGCGCACTAACCATGAGGCCACCGCGCCTCCCACTCATATCACCGCAAAGGCATCACGCTAAAAGGCATCACGCTAAAAGGCATCACACTGAAGGGCATCATGCTGAAAGGCATCACGTTAAAAGGCATCACGCTAAAAGGCATCACACTGAAGAGCATCACGCTTAAAGGCATCACGCTTAAAGGCATTACGCGAAAAGGCACCGTTAGAAAAAAAAATATATGGAATCCGGGGCTAACTCTTCTTACTTGTGTCTTGTAGGATAACAGCCTTCTCAAATAGTTTTTGACCGAGACATTCCGTCTTTGCCTCCTCGCGAGGTCTTAATTCAGTACGGGAGGCGTGCCTTAAAGTCCATACTTTATTTTTACAATAACTGTCTAATTTCTCGCGCGCTGATTGGCTCATTTTTATCATCAATAAGAGTACAGACAGCGGCTTAACCCTCCCGGCATTTGACGATTTGGGGGTCTTGTTATTGTAAAAAACAAATTGACGTCAGTTTTTTTATGCGTCTGTCCTCATAACATTGTCAAAGTTTACTGCGGAACCACAGCCACTTTGACAATGTTATGACGCAATTTATCATCAATAAGAAGACAGACGCATAAAAAACTGACGTCAATTGTTAATTATATAACTTCCTTTCCTCTTTCACGAAACTTTGGAAGAAGTTGGAAGGTTTTTTTTTTTTTTTTTTACACGTGCGCCGACTGTACTATCAGGTTTCCCCTTCTTTACATTATATCCGCCTTCCTCCTGCCCCCTATCCCCATAGCATCTGGAAATATCATTGTTAGAAAGTAAGTCAATATTTCTTCTCGAGTTTTCAGAATTATGCTTGACTTTATGGAAAGGGAGTAAAAAATAAGCCGACTAGGACCGTGGACGACGCTCTGACCAGTTCCCCACGGTCTTTTCGTTTTGAGTCCGCAATACTCGAGTACAGCATTGAAGCGAGGCTGGAACATATTCAACATGGCGACCTCAAAGAGTGCGAACACTTATAATCGACAAAATTGGGAAAATGCGGTAAGCAAATTGGCTGGCTACACTTTATAACCTCGGAGAAAGTTCTTAGATAATTAATATTGTCACTTTTGAGCTTAAACACTTTGTTGTGCCTTTGGTGGCCTGTGCTTCGTGTCGTGCTCTTTGTTGGAAGATTTCGTTTGAGCTTAAGCCTTATGCATTCTTTCACTTTGCGCTTTGTGAGAGCAGAAAAATAGGGAGAAAGTTAAACGAGAATTACAGCAATGGATGTATTGCATCAATGTTAAGGAGCAGTTTGAGGTTGATAAAGTCACTCATATTTAGTCGACAGGGATTCAATATGTTCCAAGCATGCAGTGTTCTTGAGGCCCCATGTTACTTTTAGGAGTGTTAGCTATGCTCTCATTTTCAGTGATTATTTTTTACTCTGCAAAAGAAATTGGTGTATATTCTCTGTGTACAAAGAAGGTGATCTCTGCATTCAAACTAAAAAAATGTTAGGTCCTGGTACTCGGTTCTGAGGAAAAAAATACAAACAAACAAACAAACAGAGAATCTTAAGTTTATCAGATCTGTCATTATTGTTATCCTTATCATAGTACATGTATGTAAATATAGCTTTTATATACGGATCATCATGGTTACCTTTAGGCACAATGTAACTTCTTTTCTGTTATTGGAAAAAATAATAACACTACACAGGATCCATACTGACGGATGTTGTACCATTTCAGGAATTCCCCATTCTTTGTCAGACATGCCTTGGAGATAATCCTTATGTTAGAATGGTAATGTATTATTTGGTTGTTTGCTCCTCATTAACTATTTGTAGTTTGTTTACATCTGTAGAAATAATAGATTAATTAGACTCTCATAAGTAATGCCACTTTTCTGGAGATGGCCGAGTTCTTTATTTTTTTATGTATGTGATTTGTTATCTCAAGGTAGAAAGAAGTTAATAGTCTGATCACTGATATGGGTTAGGGTTGAGGTACATTGTGTGTGTAGAGCCTCACAACTCAGGAATAATTTTCACAGCAGCTTCAAGCTCTTTGAGGAGTGCATTTTCAAGTTATGACACTATAAACTACTATTTCTACTTGTCTTCAGATGTTTAAACCTCATTGTAATTTGTTATTAATTTTATATCAATTATGCATTCTCCCACAGACAAGGGAAACATATGGTAGAGAATGTAAGGTGAGTTATTGCCGTAAATTGGTAACCAACCACTGTTGTGAGATTAAGCAAGCATGCAAAATTAACAATGCCAAGTCCACGTGTCCAGCGGTGAGTTCGGGGGAGGAGCATAGGCTCTTCTTGAACAGCATCAGGTAATCGAGCCTACAATTCCACAAAGTGAACATTTTAATGAGGAATGACATTTAAAAAGTAATATCCAGCTTCAGTCATGTAAAATGACCTTAATAGTGATATTTGTTGGTGAAAAAAAACTACATTGTTTTTAAAAATGCTACAGATTTGCGCACGGCCATTCACAGTGTTTCGTTGGTGTCCTGGTGCTCGTATGAGGTTTAAGAAGACAGAAGTCTGTCAGACATGTTCAAAGTTAAAGAATGTTTGTCAAACATGCCTACTTGATCTTGATTATGGTAAGTATCAATATGATGTTTCCTTCTTGGTATTTTAAGGCAGAATTAAGAGTTTCTCCCAAAAAATAACAACAAATAACAACAACAACTATGTCACAGTTTAATGTAAAGTTATTTAATATCTTATTCTAATTAGATGTCAACTGTACTTTAGTTATGATTACATTCCCAATCTCTTATTTGAAACAAAAAATTGTTAATTTTAATATAAAGGCAGAAAATGCGATCATCCTGACAAGTAATAGAGAGTAATGTATTTCTACTCAGAATGTTCTTTATTAGGGTTAAACCTTTTTTATTTCGTGCTTTTTGAAGGCTGATGTCAAAATGATCCCAAAGTATTCTATTCTTGTATATACAGAGCTAGAAGAGTGGCAGATCATTTTAAAATATGCAGTATTATAATAGTTTGTTACATTCTGATTTATATTATCAATACTTATATATTATCTATATTTTCTGTAATCTGTTTTAAGGCAAGAGAGAGGACAAATAAAGATTGTTGTTGCTGTAATTTATGTTGTCTCCAGGTTTGCCAGTACAAGTCAGGGACCATGCCCTTGGAATGAAAGATGATGTACCAAAATCTGATGTTAACAAAGAATTTTACACTCAGAATGTGGAGAAAGAGGTCAGGAATGCAATTGTCTATCAACTTTATTGGTCACAAAATTACAATATAATTAAAAGAAGAAAAGGACCAATAGGAATTGCGCGAACGGGAAAATAAAGTTACCCATGCGAGGCGCAACCCTAGAAGCTATTAATAATTGTGATAGAAAATCTTAAATTTGATAAAAATTACAATAAAATCTAATAATTACTTATAGTTAAAAATTATAATTAAATCTAATTAATTACAATAGTTTAAAACAAGATGCNAGAAAGAAAGGAGAGGGTCTGACAAAGAAAAGCCTTCATTGGCTTGTGTCAAACATCCAAAATCTGGACACAAAAGACTCTTAATTAATGAGACTAAGTCACAGAAGAACCATACTATAGCAATTCAAGACCTGTATTCAAAAAGCTTTGAACTGTTCATATGAGACTATCTGTGAAATGTTATAGTTTTTTCAGAGATGCATATTGAGCTGTGAGTGGGTGAAGTCTCAAATAAAAGCCTCCAAGTTCAGTTCCTCTCTGTATAATTTCCTGTACTTCACTTTAACTTGTGCATGATGTTGTGTTTGTTGCAGTTGGCTAATTCAGATGGCACGACCCCTGGTGGAACACTTGGTAAAGCCAATGCACCCAGTGATTTGTTGCTGAAACTAGCCAGGACCACACCCTACTACAAGAGGAACAGACCTCACATCTGCTCATTCTGGGTAAAGGGCGAGTGCAAGCGTGGTGATGAATGCCCTTACAGGTCTGTGTTAAACATTGTCAGTTAGACTAATTGGATTATTTGAGGGGTCACTTTTTGTCTACAGGGAAACAGCATGCCACATGCTAAATTCTCCCACTGACAGTATATCAAAGATACAGTATGAATGAATGGTTGACAAAGGGTAGTCAAGTTGACTACCACCTACTATGAAAATGTAGGAATATGTAAGTTGTCAACTTGTTTTAGTATATACTGTAAAGGGCAACAGCAAAACCTACAATTCTAGGTATTTTTAAACCAAAAATCAAGATTAATTTTCCCTTTCAAGGACAACATCCATGCAATTGTGTTCTGTCAGTAAATACTGTGTTTAGTCTAAAGAGCCCCCCACCCTGATTACTTGCCACCTGTGAATAAGGGCTGTACCTGGAATGTGGTGCTTATTTGGAATTATTTAGTTCCAGAGCATTGCTAAGTTGAAAAGTTTTTCCAGGAGTGGATTGATTTGGACCTCAAAGTTGTTATTTTGTTCTTAGACTTCCTATGCTATTGTTATCATTTTTTTTTTACAAAACAAGGAAACAGAGACTATTCAGTAGCACTATAATTTTGTTTTGGAAATTATCAAATTTGAAATAAGTCCAGTCCCTGAATATATGGCTCCCCCTTGAATAAACACTGCAAAGTTTTAGGGTTTAGGGTTAACATTGACAAGTGGAAAAATTGAACAAGTGCTGCAGCACTCTTTTGAGTAAATACAGTAGGCAGTGATTTGCAGAAATTCAATAAAAGATTCCCAGTGTCTACTAAACATTAACAATAAGATTATGATTCCAGATTTCTATAGTGTGAAAGCTGATGAGAGAGAGAGGGCCAAATTTCCTTCAAATTAATGCTTTCAGTCTATTCTTTTTGTTTTTAAACCATGCTATATATTTTATTAAACTTAAATTATATTTGTTCAATTGAAAAAGCATTTGCTGACACTAATTTGTGAGTGTTCCATCTTATTGATTCATATTATTTATTTTTTTAAAAGGGGAATTTCCGTGGGCAATCCTAGTTCTAGTTTTATACCTTAGTTTTAGTCTCACGTTTTTAGCTTTTACTACGTCTGTATTTTAGACATGTAATGTATATTTTAGACTTTTCTTTTTTAGAGGACCCTCCTGAAGACCCCCTCTAGGTGATTGGAGGCCTCCTCTTAAAATATTAATTCATTATTATTATTATTATTATTA